TCCCAACCACCAAGGACTTATCACAGCATCAAGAACATCAGCTAAGAAGAGCTGGGGAAAGGCCTGGCTTCTAGGTCCACTGGAGCAGTCAGTGACTGACTGTCCCCCTACAATTCCTTTGAGCCACACTAGCGAAACGCTCCATTTACCACATGCTTCCCATCCAGTGGTTTCTTGTATCACGTTTAATTAGATACACGTCCCTACACAAGCACCTGCATTCATCACCCACCTCTTGGTAACCACCTGCAAGCAGAGGACAGAACGACAGCGCTCCATTAGCAAACACGTCATTAACCAAAGCTGCAAACCACTGGAGGTCAGAGCAAGCACCAGCCACCAGCTCCCTCCTTTGTATAGAGCCCACTCCTATGGGCCCACGCCCGTAACACTTCTGTTCACTAATCACAGAGCTTCCCCAGCAGCAAGAATGGCAGCGTGAAGCTAACCGGGCTGTACCACAGGCTACTCTACTCTGTTTGTCCTTGCTAGGAAAGTTTATCCAGGAGCAAGAAAGCTCCCTTGTTGCAGGAGCTCTGCAATAAAGACAGAGTCCCGAGAGAGATGCAAACCAGATGCAAAAGAACAAGACGCTACTGGGGGAAGAAATCAACACAGATTCACCACAACCACCATTTGCCGGCAAGCAGATGGTTGTCTTTGCATTACAGTAGTGAGCTTCATGACAAGCTGTCTTATGGCCAGATGTAAAGGCAAAGAAAGAAGAGCTGCTGAGAAAAAGTGTTGAGAAGAAGAGGAAGACAGTCTCAGGAGTCACGTGAAGCTTCAAGAAGGAAGATCTTTTCCAAACACATCCTAAAAAGCCAGAATCTTCCAACAGTAACAAGAGATTTCCATCTGAACATCCCAGCAACATGAGATTTGCATCTGAAGCTAAAAAGACGCGAGCTAGATCCGCAAAAATGGACTTTGGAGCTTAAGCACAGAACCTTAGTCACTGCCACCTGCCAAGCATTCCTTTGCCTACTTCCACTCGAGGGTCTGACTGCTCAGAAAATGCTCTATTGGGCTTGGAGCATGGACAACGTTAAGAACAGACCACAGCAGGGACTCCAAGACACCTCTCATCCCCTTCCGAAAAACAGCGCGGCGATTCAAGCTCTCCCCAGCGTGGCGCAGGAGAGGAAGCCCTAACCTGAGCCTCACTGCTCTGACTAGAGAGTGCTGTGGGGTGGGTACGCTCCAACCTTCCTCTTGAACTCTTTCTACTGTGCACACAAATATTCACTGGACCAGAGACAACACGAGCAACTCCACAGCTTAGTAACTGGGACATTCACCAGGAACGAATCCCTGGTTTTCAGTCCCTGCTCCAGTGAATATTTAGGAGGAAGAGGAGGGGTAGAAAAAAGGGGGAAAAAAAAGCAGAAGATTCAGTGGAGCAAGGAGCAGAACCGTTCCTTGCAGACCAAGCCCTAAGATGAGTGCCGTGTAGAATCTGGTACCCTTCGTTTCCTGCATCCTTTTTTTGCCCCTTAGCTCATCTTGGAGGCAGGGCCTTGCTTTCTCACGTGAAAGAAGCGCTATTCAAATCAATAGCACTACTTGAAAATATTGTCAGGTAAGATTTAACCTGGCAGGAGAAAATACCATTTTGGCATAAATATATTAAAGCATTTTACCAAGTCCTCCTAAGCCCGTTGGTCCGATCAGCTGCATGAGCTGGTTATGGCTCATGTTTCCAAGAAGGCTTTGCAAGCCACCCTCACCTAAAAACAAAAACATTCTGAAACACAACATATTCACATAGTTTTTTTTCACAGCACTCCGGCTCAAACAGCAGGAGATTAATTGGCATCACATTCTGTATGGAAAAAACAGTTTCAAGTGTTTACTGATTCATGATGCTCATAAAAGATAAATGCAACTTGGCTTCATAAAGAGGTAAGACTCCAGAGAATCTACTGGAAACAAAGAGAGATTTCTTCTGGCAGTCTTAACTTTCAGCCTGCACCTATTGTAACAGCACAGTTATTTTGCTGGGAGCACGTTTACACTTCTGGTATTAACATAGTCCCCAACTCACCCTCCACAGCCATCAGGAATTTCTTCCTAGGGAACTACAAGTGCTTATTCCAAAAACAGATTTTTAAAAAAAAAGCCTCTCACATGAAGGAGCAGAGAATGGACTGTACCTCCTAATGCCGAGAGCTCGTGGCCTCCACTTGCATTTCCACCCAAAGCACCAGGCATTGGTGGATTGTTGAGATACTCGTTCACTTTACGGCAGTGTTCTTCGTCCTTGTCCGTCTTCGGCTCCTGCAAGAAAGTTGCTCTTGGTACGAGTCAAACTGGAAGTATTTTGTTCCAAGACCTTTTGTTATTGACCTCCCACAAACCTGCATCCAGAAGAAGAGTCGTTTTGATCCCGCCTTGAACTTCAATACATACACGCGGCCGGTAGTGCACTGAGGTACCCTCTTGAATTCACAGTCGTCAGGAAAAATGATCAAATCCTGGAAAACGGGGCAGTAGGAACAAGCGTGTGAGAAAATACCCAGATATTCCTTTTAGCCTCCCCAAAACCTCTGCCCTCCTCCCCAAACCTTCCTCCATCTGCTCCTCAGAGCGGAGAGGATTTGAAAGCGCAGGTCTGTCAGGCCGCAGTGGCGTTCTCACCCTAATTTGTCTTGGAGAAGCTCTTTCAGCAGCACCAGCGGAACAAAGACAAGACAGACCGCGACTTAACGCCTCAGCACTGAAACACAAAACCGTACTCACATCTTCAACATTGCCCGAAGTCCTGTCCTTCCAGCAGAAGTGAATGAGGGAATCGTCAGTTTGCTGGATGTACACGAGGCCTTTTCTCTTGTCTGGGGTTACAGTGCTGCCTTTCAGGGACATCTTCCCTGCCCGAAATTCCACCAGGTATTTGCTCGAAGAGCCACGGGAGCCTGGCACCAGGCTTGGAAATAACGCGCCCGAAGACATCCTGGAACGAGAGAGAGCAGCAGATGTGGTGAGAAACCTTCCCATATTCTCTCTTCTCGATATCAAATTTCAATCTCTATCCAGTGAGCTCCACAAAAGGAATCTGTCTCGCTGCCTGCAGGGTTTCAGGGCAATCCACGAGAGCTAAAGCAGAACCCGGGATGAAGACAGGATGCTCCGCAGATCTCCCCTAATAAAGAGAAGCCTATCTGCCAAGGTCCTGGAAAACGGAACCACCGTCCCCCTGCCGCTTCCTCCTTCGGTTCCTATCGCGGTTCACAGGATCGGGGACGTTTTAATTACCAGAAGCCCTGCTCGAACGCCGGTCTTGGGACTCCCGCTTCAGCCTGCCGGCAGAGAACGGCAGGCTGCCGGCTGCCACCGCAGCCCCGCACGGGTGACCTGCCTGGGCACCCTCCCCTCTCCCGAGGAAACCACTCACCGGCCCCGCGGGCCGGGCCGGGCCGGGCCGTTAATGCCGGGACACCGCTCGGCCTGCATGACTTGGCAGTTGTTTCCAAGCTCGCACTACCGCTTAAACCGCGGTCCCGGTCCGTCCCCCTCCACCCGGCGCCGGCCGATCCGAGCGCACCCACCGGTACCGGCCGCTCAGACCCGGCACCGCCGCGGGGG